GTAGCCCTGGAGAATGACATACAGTAACTGTTATCTTCAGCTTTTATGGTGTTATCCTAGAATAACTCAGTGAAAATGGATTGCCGCTGGCAAGTCATGACAGGAAAGAAGTCTTCCTGACATATTTTATGTATGGATGACATCATGTCTACGGATAACAGTCTTTACCATCCATCAAAATTATAGTACATAAATAACTGTGCTAAACACTGAGACATTCAACAAGGGCAAGTAGATAGTAATGAATATAAATTAGAAGCTAGAATTGTAGAAAATTCTGTGAGGCAGCTGATCTGCCACTGACTGACATTTTAATTAATAACTAAATGACTACAAAAATCAACATGGTATTTGTTAAATGGATTAAAAACTGACTAATAGGTCCCCAAAATGTAATTGTGAAAGAATAACAACAATCTAGCAGGACTCTTTCTAGTGAGGTCCTGTAGTAACAGTTCTTGTTCCTATGCTACTTAATATTTTTATCAATGATCAGGAAGAAAAAAAACCAATTACTGATAGGCTGTGTCTAGACTGGCATGATTTTACGGAAATACTTTTAACGGAAAAGTTCTTTCGTTAGAAGGATTTCCGCAAAAGCGTGTCTAGATTGCCACGGATGCTTTTGCACAAAAGCATCTGTAGCCAGTCTAGGCGCGATTTTCCGCAAGAAAGCCCCGATCACCATTTTAGCCATCGGGGCTTTTTTGCATAAAACAGTTCTTCTCTGTCTACACTGGCCCTCTTGAGCAAGTATTCTTATGCAAGAGGGCTTTTTCCCGAGCGGGAGCGTGAAAGTATTTGCGCAAGAAGCACTGATTTTGTATAGTACAAAGTCAGTGCTCTTACGCAAATTCAAGAGGCCAGTGTAGACAGCTGGCAAGCTTTCGCTCAAAAGCTCTTGCTTTTGCACAAAATCTTGCCAGTCTAGATGCACCCATAAAGTTTGCAGATAGTACAAAGATTGGAAGAGTGGTAAATAATGAAGAAGACATGGCATTAATACAGAGCAATCTGGATAGTTTGATAAACACAGAGTAAGCAAACAATATGGGTTTCAAGTACTGTCAAATGTGAAGTCTAGGAGCAAAGACTGCCGTCTCTACTTAAAGAATGGTGGACATATCCCAGAAGCAATGACTAAAAGAGATTTGGGAGTCATGATGGATAACCAGCAAATATGAGCTCTCAAAGGGCATGTCTACACTGGGAAACTATTTTGAAATTACTAAAATTGACTTAACTCCCAATTTAACAAAATCAAGATAGTGTGTCCCCATTTCAGGAAAGCATTGAAATTAGTTTGAATTATTCCAAAATAGCGCAGCCACATTGACTGGAGCCTGCCTTGGACTTAGAGCTCCCGGAAGCACTCAGATGAGGGCACTAGGGGTATGTCTACACTACAAAGTTAATTCGAACTAACGGACGTTAGTTCGAATTAACTTTGATAGGCGCTACACTAGCGCTCCACTAGTTCGAACTTAATTCGAACTAGCGGAGCGCTTAGTTTGAACTAGGTAAATCTCATTCTACAAGGACTAAGCCTAGTTCGAACTTACTAGTTCAAATTAAGGGTTGTGTAGCCCCTTAATTCGAACTAGTGGGAGGCCAGCCCTCCCCAGCTTTCTCTGGTGGCCACTCTGGCCAACACCAGGGAAACTAGTCTGCCCCCCTCCCGGCCCCAGACCCTGCACCTGGCATGGCTCGAGCCAGCCACCCGATGCCCCCTCTTCCCGGGACCAGGCTGGTGGCTCCCGGGAGCTTGCCAGGGACCGCAAGAGGCGGGGACCCGCCTGGTCTAGTGCGGACATCATGGACCTCATCCATGACCTCCGCACTAAGCACAGGAAAGTGGCCATTTAGGGCAGAATAGCTGCCAGCCTGGCCACCCAGGAGCAGGTGTGCATGAAAATTAGGGTGGTCCAGTGAAACACCCGACCCTGAGCCCTGAGCTTAGAATGGCCGTACTGGGTCAGACAAAGGTCCATCTAGCCCAGTAGCCTGTCTGCCGACAGTGGCCAACCCTAGGGACCCTGGAGGGGATGGACCAA